TCCTCGTAATATTTTCCTGCATAAACTGAGTCTGTAATGCGATGATCTTAGCGATTTACATGTAATGTGTAGTATGACCGCCGCTGGGTAAGATTAACCTGAAGGTTAATTGCTCCAACGGGAGATTCAGATGAATCATTACGCTGGCTGTTTTCCGCATTACCCGCTAGAATCCGTTCTCTGCTAATTACGGTTAAAATAGTTAAAAAATCCATCACACATAAATAAAAACAAAACAAAAAATTTGGCATACGTTATCAAGTTGCAAAAAATACGTCATCAGGCTTTCAACGGTTTAAAGTGGAATAACAAAATGCTGATGGAATAATGGCTGCTTAGCGCCACAGAAAGTTGAAGAGAAAAAGACAGAGCCTTGTTGGGGAGAAACGACAACAATTAAATTTTTTACCCCAAAACTAAGAAATAAACATTTTTTTTTAAGAATTCCTAAAATATTATTTCAATAAAAATAACGTTGTTTGCTACTATGACATTAAAAAAAATGGTCAAAGGTTTTTGAAACATAATAAAATATTATTTTGCGAACTTTTATTTGTGATAACCTTTAGACATTAAAACAAATATTGATAAATAATACCAATAATAGTGTAAGAAACACTATATATTTTTTAGACATTCGTGTAGAGCTCGTTTTTTTGAATTCATTAATGTGTCATACTTTAGTCATCCATGCCCCGCTACTGCTCCAAAAATATGAATGTATGTATTGACAAAACGCAGGGCTATGCTATCCTTATCCAGTGAGTTTTCCCATTTGAAAATATTCCAATCAACATTTCAGCAAGGCCACGTATGTCAATTCCGACACGTGCAGTGTAATATTAATAATAAAACAATGAGGTGGCCCGTTTTTGATTTGATCAATCAGAAATAAAGTATAACCTCGATAATTGGAATTAATTCGGGAAAAGGTGTGTTCGTTTTAGCGATTTGTTCGAATCAGCGAATTTTTCAAAAATCTGAAAGGAAATAGAATAATAATTTTATACATTACTAAAAAGAAAGTTCAAGAAATAAATCTTAATTTTAATAAACAAAAATAAAGTTTCCTTAGTGCTCATTCACAATGGGCATAAAGCATAACGATGTCCTAAGCATTAATGCATAAAAATTTATGTTTAGTGCTCTATGCTTGTATTCGTTCACAATGAGCATAATGCTTCAGGCATCCGAAACATAAATTTTTATGCATTAATGCTTAGGACATCCTTATGCTTTATGCCCATTTGAATGAGCACTTAAGCAATAGATAATAAAATAGATACATTCGAAAAAAGAACTACTCCGTGACCATAAACACGCTATATTTTTGGAATCAACTTTTTCAAAAACGAAATTTTCCCCCTTCCGCAAATTTCGATCCATTTTCGACAATTTTCAAAATTTAACTAAATACATTTTCTTGCAGATTTCGGACCGATATCTTTGTTTTTTTAGAATCGTTCATTGAAATATTGGAATTTTCAAAAATTTCAAAAAATCCGAATTTCACACCGAATATTCTGAAAATATTGCTGTTACCATAAACACGCTATATTTGTGGATTCAACACATCGGGATCTATATTCCTGAGTTTTTTCGAAATTTAATTAAATACATTTTCTTGTAGATTTCGGGGCGTAGAAGTCACTTCCGAACTCATTTCTTTGATAACTCCACCCGTTTTTCCAGAATTGCCCATTGAAATATCGCAATATTTAAAAATTTGAAATTCACACCGAATATTCTGAAAATACTGCTCTGTTACCATAAACACGTTATTTTTTTGAATCGGCTCGTTCGGATCTATATCCCTAAATTTTTTTCAGAAAAATGAAATCTACCTCGGTTCTGATTACTAGATGTTCGAATAAACGTGGGTTCGGATTATAGAGGTTATACTGTGTAGATAATGGCGGTAACAATGTAAAAAACAATCGAGCCTTGTGGGAGCTCCGCTTATATTAATATAAAAGGGTGCTATTACATACAATAACTGCGAAAATTTTGATGAATCGAGGAAAACCTCAAGGGGGATTCATAAACCACGAGTACAAGAGAATGCCATTTTATAAAATTTAAACTGTACTTGCTTTGAAAGTTTTGATGTTTGGGCAAATTTTGGTTATCGGTTTGCCATCTATACGATATTATTTCGTAACATACATATGTATATAAAATTAGACAACAATTGGTCCGTTGCATATAATTTTAGTAGTCAATACACCCTGTTGTCTGTTGTATAGTAGTTTACGTGGGTGTTATTAGTCACATTAAAATATGCAAGTACTCGGAAAAATAATTTAACTTTCACACAATTACACACGTACTTATTAATCATCAAATATGTATAAAGAGATGAAACACTGTTTACAAAAGCAGATTTGCCAATCTTTTTATCTCTGTACTGCTAGACTATGAAATTCATGGAACCGCGGCGCGCAAGTGACCAACACCTATTCAAACAAGTAAATTTTATTTTAAATTTGAAGGTGGTCGAGTTGAGTATACAACACAACAACGTTATCTATTAGTTTCTATTCTTTTCCTCTTAAAAAAAAAACTCTGACATGCATTTCTTCTTACACATTAAATTGTTTACCGCACCTTCAGAATAATAAGCCTGACTTCACACTTGAACCACAAGTAAAAATTATACGTTGAGAAATACATACTTAATGCAAATGTATTTTTTAGTGTTTTATACACAAGTTTGCATTCAAGTACAAATTAAATTATCTAAGGCATTCCATCGACCATTTTACAAATCTTAATTAAAATTACATAAAAAACAAAGTGATGGTTGTAAACAAGAATAAATGAGTAATATTCGTAGATATCACGCAATACAAACATTTTAATTACATAATGAATCACTTAATTTCGCTATATACACATAATTCGAACACTCCTTTTAAATCATTTTGCAAATAATTTGACAACATTATCGAAGTGGGATAGTTTGGTTTTTACACCGACTGTATTCTACAACACTGAATTTTTTGGCTAACAACGTCAGAGCTATAACGTAATCGATTTTTTTAATGGAAACCCTAGTTTTTTACCGTAAATCGAGAGCACATCAAAGCAAACTCCGGGATACTCACAATTTAAAAATTCGAATACGATGACGCCCATTCAGCAACCAAATTTACTTTTGTTGGGGGCGTTGGAAAGGTCACCATTTTGTACACATATTTTAATTTAATTAGATTGCAAACTTTGTTTTAATAAACTAATTCTGAATGAAATTTTTAATTTTGAACATCTGTAAATTACAGGAAACGCAATGGCTTCGATTTTATTTGTGTTACACTTCTTTTGGATAATTACCCACATGTCATAATTGTTTGAGTTAGTGCATTTATAATCGGTGATATCGTTTAATATCTAGATAACCGTGAGGAAAATACATAGATTAAACCCATTTGGGGAAATTCAAATGATAATCTTCTGATTTGCTTTATGCACAACATATTGCTGCCACGATAAGTGGTTTTCCCTAAATAAAATATGTAACACGTTTGTTTTATGTATCTCGTGTTTATTCGAAAATGTTTACAAAGCAACAATTATAGTGGAAAGTGTGGTGTGGAACACGCGGAAGATAATCGTTTCCTACTCGTATAAATTTACACCGTGAGAAATGACTGTCGTTCGCTGCGTAATATCGCGTTTCCGAAAACACCGCCTACGAGAATATGTGGAAATAAATTTCTTAAAGTTGTCTTACACATTGTTAACGTTTAATTCCTCGTTATTTTAAAGTTATGACCACTTCTGCGTATTGTTTTCAACTTTACGAGATTCATTGCGATATTTTTATATTTGAAATTCAATTCATGGAAACCTTGATCCTTTCGGGCAAACTGCCCAAGAGCAAGCAGGTCAGGACTATAAATTGTTACAACTAAAATCCTCCAGTTTATTGATTTTCAAATAAACCCATTGGGAACCCCTTGGGCCATGTTCACGACGGTTGAAAATAAAATGGGCAGATTTTTAAGTTCGGGGAAGTCAAACCCTTTTCCAGAATTATAGCACGAACTGTTTGGCCTTAAACCACTGGTATAATGTTCAACAAACACAGTCAAATCTAAACTACTAAAAACATTCCTTCTGCATTAAAAACATTGAAAAATCACGTAAGTAGCTGTAGAATCATTAACTATGGCGTTCCATAAGGAACAATTCTAGAACCGCCTCTACTTGTTTCCTACATTAATGAGCTTCTTAATTACGATACAATACGCCGAGAACGATTAGTTTTGAGCTATAGGAAATCATTAAAAATATTTCACACAATTATCTAATTAATATTAAAAAAAAAAATGGTTCCGTAGTAAAACTTCGGCCAACAATTTTAGTAAAATCTATTTTACTGCATTTAGCATCTATATTGACAAAACAATAAATTTCACGAACTGAAGATAAAAATCGATAATACGCCTCGCATGGTAGAGGGAGCAAATGGAAATAGTTAAGAACAATAATAACCGGATACTTAAGATGGGATGAACATATCACTGCTTATCACTAGTATGAATGTAAATTACACAATTGTGTAACAACTTGTTATTATCTTTTTCCTTTCGCAAATTGTCATCGAGATCCTTTTTGTTTTACACAACTTATTTTTATTATTTTGTTGCATTTTGAGTTACTTATAAGATTAATAATAGGAGAAACTATATTCAAATTCGTTCCACGATCTGTAGGCGTGGACGAAGGGTTTAAAGTTTCCACGTCTTTCACGAAAATCACTTTTGATTAGTGTCCGATTTAAAATCAAATTGGATCGTTTCCCACTTCGCGTTAAAAGCACTTTCCCTGGTAATAATTACAGCAAAACACCTACAATAAAAATTGCGCAATTCGTGCATATTTCAAAACCACATCAACAAATAAATACAATTCTAAAAATAGCGAATTCGGGAGCAATAAACGATGTACAGTAATTCCGCAGGTGGTAAACCCCTATAGCAATTTCGGCGAAGTACCTCATCGGTGACTTGTCCCGCTCTGAGCTGCAGCTCCTGCAGTTCGGTCCTGGGGGCCCCATTTTCGGCAGCTGGTGCTGGTGCCGGCATTTTCTGGCAAAGATCAAGAATGACAGATAAAATAATTGGCGAAAAGCCGTCGACGCACAAATCTTTTTGCTTGGGACTGTACTTTACATTGTTTGACCCGAGAAAATCAATAATCGCGTAGAGGCAAGCAAGACGGGCGCGTTCTCTTATCTAAATCAAATGGTGTTACCGGAACATCCAGAATTTGCCCCTTTCCGAGGTGACATCATCGGTATTCCCACAGGCGAATTCCTAAGGCCTGTCTCGGTTTCCGTTTGCAGCAAAACACGATCGCTAGCGCGGCGTTTGTCGGGAAAAATTATTGCAAAAATACTTACGGCGGTTTCGGTGCTGGTGCGCGGACGAGGAGTTTAGCAACTAATTTTTGAGCGAAATATTCGGAATCGACGACAAACAACACTGTAAATTTCGTTTCACATAACACTTTGACAGTGAACTGTCAAAGCGTTAACGCATTTGGTTGACAACAGCCACTGAGCGAATGGTGGGGAAAGGGAGATGCGAGATGCAGAGGAAATTTCGAGTGGAGGTGCGCATGATCCGATAATTGTTGCAGAGTGGCGCGAAGTTTGATTTTTACGTTAGATTGGTCACGGTTCGGGTGCGTAGGTTTCGGATTAATCGCCGATTAGTGATTAGTTATTTTGATCGATGACTTGATGAAACAATAAATAACAAAGACTCATTTTGAAGCCTTGGAAAACTACGATTTCATCATGGGCGGTTGTCTGTATTTTTCCTTGGCCAGGGCCGGGTGCGCAAATTTTAAGTTAAGCGATTCCCGCAGTGGAAACTCTGAAATCGCATCTGTTAGAATCACAAGTCAGTTAAAAATATTTTCACTAATTTATTTAAATAAAATTCTATAGTTTTTGTTTTACTTTTGGATAGAATTCTCAAGGACCAAATCTCATAAGATATATTTTTATGTTCAAAAGTTTTTGCAATGTTTATGTTTTATCAAACTGAAGAGTAGTACATAATCACACAGATCCAAAAAAAAAATATTATATATTCTTTACTGTGGTGACCGAATTTAAATCAAAGTTTTCGCGCTGAAATTAATTGACAACGGCGCGAAATCACATTTGAATAATTTTAATTTGAAAAAAAAAAAGAGTTCAATCACAAAAAGGAACTCCTTAAACATAGGCAACCAAATATGCATGGAAGGTCTCTTGCACGTAGCGTTTAGGGGTTAGTTTGCATGATCTTTGAGTAGGTGGCAGCACGTAGCGCTAGGGTAATTTCAGTTAGAGGGTTGGTAGAAAAACCGCATGGTAGATTCATTACGAATGTGGCTGTGTGTGTGTGACCACGTGGTAAGAGCTAGGTTTAAATTAGTTGGTTTGGTAGTTAATAAAACGGGAGGAAGCCTTTGTTTAACGACGATCAAACGTATTTTTCATACTGATACAGTTGTCCCCAACCCGCGCGGTAAATTCTTGCGCCCTTTTAATCGAAAATTGCAGACTTCCGGTCGGACGCGAACACGTGTTGTGAATCTGTTCTTTGTTTGAAAATTCACAAATCAAGCTACTTTTTCTTAATACTCAGCTAGAGCAAACACAATTTAACAATTAGGATTATTTAAATGAACCATTTGCTAGAAGATTTCATGAAATTCACTTAGTCAGGAAAAACACCTTATGTTTAATTACGAATAGGTCTCTGGATGCATATACGTAAGTGTTACATTATAACACTTCTAAATTCTTCACACAAGATTGCTAATAGTTCATTTACGGCAGTTAAACAAGTTCATTATACTGCGGACTGGCGGGGGGGTTATGATATTTTCTCCCCTCAGGTGGTTATCATCATTATCACGATTAATTCATCGGGGCATGTTTCGCAACGCCAGATTGATTAATTAATTAAGGCATGCCCCCAACGCTACAGAAAATTTACGTTACCGAGACGCTTTTTCCTCGCAACGATTTTGGATACATCACCGAGACGCTTTTTCCCTCGGAGCGATGATTGGATATTTTTGTATTTGTTTATTATGTGTTTTGTTGGGGTAACCAGTTCGTAGTATTTTAACTTCTCAAAGTAAATTATTTTTGAAGTAACCAATCATTTAGATCATGATATAATTTGGCATAATGTAAACTCTTTGTTTGAACCGTTGATAAAGTGTGGCAAATATTAATCTCCTGTAAATTATGTTAACTCTGCAATTTTCACATCATACTATATTTCTTAATCTCACAATCTTAACCTCAGTAATTTTATTTGTTGTATAAATTTAATTGAACGTAAATTTCATGTTCTACAGTTTTAACCTCACATAGTGTTTCTATTTGTACAAGTTTATTTCACACCAGATCTTTCGTCTCATAAATCCTTGCTAAGTTTTGTTTTGTAAATACTTTGTTGATGAATGTTTTCTATCATATAAATTATTTGATGTCCAACTTTAATCCCACATAAGAATTATTTGTTGTTTAAGATTTCACAAGATTGTATGGCGAATTTAAATGTTGTTTATTGCTCTTTGAAACTTTAACACTTGTTCAGTTGTTGTTAACATCAGAGTTATAAGAGATTGAATGTTTTAAAATGGAATTGAGGTTAAATGACACAGAAAACGTGGCAGAAGCGAGGTTTGGTTCCTAGTCGAGCTGGCGAGATTTATCGCGCCACCTGTACAAGTCCACAGGTTTGGATAGATTCAGGGGGCGGCCGCCGACGTTGTGAATTTCTCGATTTGGCCCAATAGTCGAGATCTTTGCGGGTTGGACGACCGTAATGGCCTAGTTCCGCAGGGCAAAGTTCGTCATGGGATATGCGTGTGGGGTAGGCTTTGCGATAGATAGAATCACCGTCGCGGGGGGAGAACAGTTCCAGACCGGTAGCTCAGACTCCGCTTATGCTACAACGCTCCAGGGGTACTTTTGTTGTGCTCCTATTAACTGCCGTAACTTAAAAAGGAAAAAGAGATCGGCCGCCACACGCCTGTAATAACTTGTGTACTTGCATCCAGTTACTTGATTCGGTTTTTGCTTTGTTTTATTAAACTTGTGATATTCCAATATTTGCATTGATTCCAAACAGATGTACAGAATTTCCGTTTGTTCGTTTTTCGTATGTGTATGTCTGTAAATTCGCGAGTGTTTTTCTTCCAGTCAATTCGCGAGTGTTTTTCTTTCAGTCAATTCGCGAGTGTTTTTCTTTCACATATCTTAAGGTGTTTGAAATGTAATAAAATGTCGTCCGGGAATAAAACCAAGGGGGTTTTTGCGCTGAGGGGTAAATCTTCGCAGCGCCTTTCCCCCTGTGAGGGTGGTGCCGTTTCCCCCCCTCCAAAACAATTTCTGTCTATTATTTCTTGCGCTCTCGACAGTGTATGCACTTGTATGAAAGAACTTCTTCCCGCCATTTTTCAAAAGCAAAAAAAAAAAAAAAAACACAACGTAGGTTCTCATTTGTTAGACGATCACAGCCAAGGCCAAACTTTGAATTTTTGAATTTTCGCGGGCCTTTCAAACTGTTTCAAGGTCAAATTTTAAGGCGGGAAGATTGGGTTATCACAGAATTTGTTGCCGCGTGACCAGGATACAATGTTTGCATACAGCTTTAGAGAGATGCATTGTTGACAGACAACACATATTTTGTTATTATTTTTGTGTACTGCCGTTTGTTATTTGTTTTATGAAATCCGACCCTGAGCCAACAAAACCGAGCCGACCGATCAACAGGACAACTAATCAGCTCCCAACGACACCGACCTCCAGGTGAAAGCGATACACGATTGACGACGACGTCCAAAGATGCCAAGAACGAGACGACATCGCCCGCCGATGATATTTTTTTTTTAACACCCAATGCCCAAAGACGCCAAACACAATGAGTGCGATTGCCCCAGACGAAATCAAAAATCAAGTTCAGGAAGTCCCAATGATTTGATCGAATATTCCAGTGACGTGCGATTGAGTCCAGTTCCGAAGCCACACCTCTGGAACGAGATTTACTTGTCAGGTAAAGTTGCTCGTTCCAATTCAATGAAACCCGATATCTGAGTGTTGGGTTTCTGCACTAATCTTTCAGCAAGATCTTTTAGCACCAGGATTTCCTAGATGTCAGGAGAGATTTCACTAACGATGCCTGAAATTTTCCATCTCAATTTCAGAAATTTGTTTCCAGAACCAGATGACCAAAATTGTGTCAGGATGTTTGAATTGGGGGCGAGAGCTTTTAATTCATTAACAATTTTAGCACTAGGGGGCGCCGTAGCTCAAATTTCCAGTGGCGGTTCAAACTGGGGGGCGAGGGGCCCATTCCCAGAAGAGCATTTTGTCCATTTAATCCAAGCTTAGTCATAGATGTCACATTTTTCTCTACAGGTCACCCAAGCAGAGTTCAGGGGGGCGTAGGTTTTCCTCACCAAGACGAATCACATCATCTGAGTGTCAGCTGACGTTCTCTTTCTTCTTCTAACTAGGTGTAGCTGTCAACAGAAATCTTGTGTTCGATGCGAGGCCAAACGATCCTGTTCCTTTTTTTTTTCAGCACGTTAACTTGCGGGTTAACAAACAAGGGGGCGTTTTCAACTAGCTTTGTTGAGAATAATGTTTTTCCGCAGGAAAACACAACCATGGTGGAGACGACTATGATGTGACTGAACCCACTTTGACACTAGTTCATTTATTTGTAATTATGTCATTTTTCTCTCCAACACGAATCTGAGTGGAACTGTTCTAACATTTTTCTCTTTTCATGGACCCGACAAACGCTTCGAGGAGAACTGGAACATTTTCGTCAAAGAACACGAACGGCCACCACCAAGAAGGAAGTGTCTCCGCTCGTTTCGCAAGCTTCACTCTGAAAACACTTGGGGGCGACTGTGGTGACCGAATTTAAATCAAAGTTTTCGCGCTGAAATTAATTGACAACGGCGCGAAATCACATTTGAATAATTTTAATTTGAAAAAAAAAAAGAGTTCAATCACAAAAAGGAACTCCTTAAACATAGGCAACCAAATATGCATGGAAGGTCTCTTGCACGTAGCGTTTAGGGGTTAGTTTGCATGATCTTTGAGTAGGTGGCAGCACGTAGCGCTAGGGTAATTTCAGTTAGAGGGTTGGTAGAAAAACCGCATGGTAGATTCATTACGAATGTGGCTGTGTGTGTGTGACCACGTGGTAAGAGCTAGGTTTAAATTAGTTGGTTTGGTAGTTAATAAAACGGGAGGAAGCCTTTGTTTAACGACGATCAAACGTATTTTTCATACTGATACAGTTGTCCCCAACCCGCGCGGTAAATTCTTGCGCCCTTTTAATCGAAAATTGCAGACTTCCGGTCGGACGCGAACACGTGTTGTGAATCTGTTCTTTGTTTGAAAATTCACAAATCAAGCTACTTTTTCTTAATACTCAGCTAGAGCAAACACAATTTAACAATTAGGATTATTTAAATGAACCATTTGCTAGAAGATTTCATGAAATTCACTTAGTCAGGAAAAACACCTTATGTTTAATTACGA